TTTGTGAGGGTTGAGCGTCTATGGGGTCTCTGTCTCAAAGGTGGTGCAAATGGAATCAGTAAATATTTTCAAGGCAGAAGTAGTTTTTTTCGTTAGCAATGGGATCAATGATAATTTAGAATAGATGGGAGTGTGGGATTTGGAGCACAAGCAGATGAGCAATGATCTTAGTGAATACCAGTACAGACTTGAGAGGCTGAATGACCTGGGCCATCTTCTAATTCAGGTGTTTCGACGAGGCTGGGAACTTGTCAGTGAGTAACTAATTTTCTGGCATCCCAGTAGCAGCAGTATATATTCTCTACTGGATGAACCACAGAAACTGACTAAGGCTGCTTAGGCAAAAAATTCCAATCTATGAACTCTACCATCTAGAAAGGCACAGGCAGAAGACACACAGGAGCATCACTTGCTGCCATGTCTCCTCCAAGACGCACACCATCCTGACTTGGAAATATATCCCTTTCTTTTCACTGTCACACGGTCAAGTTTGTAAGGCTCACTCCTCATTTAATCCTCTTTTTTTTCTGAATGGAGGCTAATTAATACATTTGCTTAACGGCAGGATGTCATCTTCAGTTAAATGCTCGTCTCCAAAAGAATTCCTTCACCTTGTCAGCTTATTTCAGTAAAAACAAAATGTAACTAAAAGAAGGTGGTGAAGTTCGACTGAAACTTATTACTCAAACCTCGCTACGGCTGTCTGTCTTTACTTATCTCCTTCAGCATTGTCCAAATATCTCAGGTAGTGGTTAGATTAGTGATAAGTTCATAGATAAGGATACTGTCATGTCCACGTGAAGCTTCCCATTTATTCGTATTTCATACAATTTCGTTCACTCGAAGGTCCGTCAACAATAGGCTGCTATATTCAACTGATCCACATCTAGGGTGAGTTGTTCCGATTCCAATTGAATGCTTCTCTTCCCCGTTAATTCTGTCTCTGACTCACATTCACTTCTATGTGTATCACTTCTATGTGTATAATTATTACCATCCCATTATATCTACCATTCTGTCTCACTCATGAACCCTGGAGAACTATGACTGTCCAACGCTCAGAATATTTTTTAAGACAGGTTTCAAATATTCCCATCTCATTCTCGCATTAACACAATGTGTTTAACTGTTATTTATTTTAGTTGGCATTTATTGCCTGGACATATCCCAGTACATTATGCCTGGAATTATTTTTATTTTAATCTTAGCCAAATTTCACGCAGCTGACACATTCTCTGAATCATCAGATAAATTTCAATTAAAATAATCCATTTTAAAAATTCAGGTCTCACCTAAACTGTTTATCATCTGTTTTTGTTAACTGTTGATTCTTCGTTTAAACTTCAGGTAAATTTCCCTCAAATAGCTAAGGTGTAAATTCAAACCAATTTATATTTCAAAAACAATTACACCCACGTTTGGTGGTTTTAAATGGGCAGGCTTTGGACAGGTGGTCCTCTCCCAACACAGTTCGCAGCTCTTTGCCTGACAGTCTATGTTCAGGTGCCCCTCTTGCTTACAATTCCTGCACAGTGTCTTCTGCCGCTTTGTGCCCTGACCTTCTACAGGTTTGATGGACACTAGGTTGCCCCATATAATTCAAGTACCCTCAGTTCCCTGCGATCGCAAAACAGGACAGTCAGTAGAGGATGTCCCATCAGCGTATGCCCTCAGGGTCACCCTGAACTGCCTTTTGCTGTTCCAAATCCTGAAGGGGCCCATGACGTAAGTGCTGCCGGTTTCCACTTGCAGGTACTTCCCAGGAATTCAGGAATCTGCTGGTGGTACATAGGAGCTGTATTTATGGATGGTGGTGATCCGACTCCTCTACACACAAAGAACAGTGCTGCAGGCAGGATGAAAAGAGAACACTCACGTCCTTTTTTTTCTAGAATACTTTCAGGAGGTGCGTCACTTGCTTCACACTCCAGAACGTCACAGCAAAATATCTGTCGCTGGGGAAATCCTGCAGGCAGTAGATGACTGCTGCTTGGAACCCACAGCAGTCATGGAGAATCCTCTTCACAAAGAAGTTCAGACCCATGGTGTGCCTTCTTCCACCTTCTTCACAGTCACCCTGACCAGCAGCCCAGCTGCTTGCTGAGATCGTAACTCCAGGTTGTCCTTTTGCTTGAATTGACGTTGAGCCATCTCGGCACTTTACAGATTCGAATCCTTAACATTGAAATTTATAACATGAGAAAGTGACCTCATAATGTCTGTTCTCCATTTTTATTCCACTCTCTGCGTACCTTCCATTAATGTTTCTTGAGGAATTCATCCCAGTGCCATGTAATATTATTGAATAGTGGGACCTCCTAACATTGTAAGTACACTTTCATTCACTCCCAACTCATTGAAATATAGAGAAATAATCAAAGTTTGTGACGATTCTGTCACTGTAAAAAGGTTATTTTGTCCTTTTTTTTGAAGAGAGGTTGTATAGGCAGAGGTACCGAAGAGTCTGGGATGCTAGAAAGCTAAAACGGTTTAACAGTGGAAGGGGAGTGGCTAGCTCTCCCAGTTGAGGGTTTTCTAGTTTTTTTTTGATCAGTTGTAGCAGTTGCAACATGTTCTGAGTACCAGAAGGATTTCAAGCTTCGATAAAACATATTCCTAACTTACTTTCTCTGAAATCTCTCCCAAATTTGTTCCCTCTTTCCTGTAAAAATCCGTAATTAAATTTAGCGTTTTGCCACAGGTTGTGTTTATGGGATGATACTATATTGGGAAACTTAATTAGTTAAGTTGTTGTATCAGGTTGGTTAAGTTTTCCAATAGTTAAATTACTCTAAATTGCACTTTGTTCTGTTCGTGTTTCAACTGTACTGTTTAAATAAATTCTGTTTTGCTTAAAGCAGAAGGGTTTGACCAGCCACATCACATCTGGAACATCCAATTAATATTGCCCTTCAAAATAAGAAAATATTAGGCTCTAGGCTATCTTCTGAAAATATTTTGAGAGAGTCTAAGCTGATAGATAATAGACTGGCAGTTCGTCAGGGTAAATTCTGTCATTCTATTTTGGGTTTAGTGTTGTTTGACTCAAAGGTGGTGAGTGGTATGTTTTGGTGACTTTTGTTTCTGGTGTTGTATTCGGTTGTTTTAAACAGTGTTTTGTGCAGTAATGGGTCTTTCGGTCACTATGAGTTTAGTGGGTGTGGAATAACTGACTTCGCGGGCTTTACAAAAAGTGAACAAGTTAAAGCTGTTGGAAATCGCAGACAAGTTGGAGTTGGGGATAGCAAGAACTGCAGATACTGGAGTCAGAGTTAAGACAGTTTGGAGCTGGACTAACTGTGAAACGAGGAGAAGTAAATACAGCAATAAATCAACATTTAAATTTGCTGGAAATGACTAGAATTCAATTGCAGATGAAGCAGCTTGAATACAAGACGGAATTGGAGTAGATTTCATGACGGTTAAAAGCAGAGGAAAAAGAAAAGGAGAGGAAGGCCCGAACAGAATAAAGGGAGAAAGAGAGAGAAGAAGTGCAGATAATTTCAGTTGACTGCAGACTCTCAGAAGTTGTTTGACAGCCTGAAGGCTGTGTTAGCTACTGTCCTAGCGTTAGCTATACCTAATTATGCAAAGGCATTCAAGGTGGCTATTGATGCGAGTGATGTGGATGTCAGTACTGTACTCTTACAAGAAGATAACGAGAAGAAAGAAAGACCTATCCGGTTTTTCTCCAGGGAATTGAATATTCAGCAACAGAAATATCCCAGGATTGAGAAAGAGACGTTGAGCTTGGTGTTGGCGTTGGCGTTACAACATTTCCAGATTTATATTGCCAGTAATGTGTCTGAGACAATTATACATACTGATCAGACCCATTAATGATTTTGGAGAAATTTAAAGACAAAAATTCCAGACTGTTTAGAGCTTATTATTGCAGCCGTTCAATTTGAAAATTATACACTCGACAGAATAAGAAAACATAATTGCTGATGTGTTGTTGGGATTTGGATGAAGAAAGATGGAGGCGTTCAGTGACAGGAGTAAATGCACAGGAATAGAATGTAGTAGTGAATGTTTGCATACTTAGAGTCAATGCAATGTATATGCATTGTCATGTACTAATAGATTAAGACTAATGGTTTTAAAAAAATAAAGCCATCTTTCTATATTGATGATTCGATTTTTAAGAGGGGCGAGGTGTGACGATGCTGTCACTGAAAAAAATGTTATTTTACCCTTGGTTCTTTCTTGAAGAGAGTTTGTAAAGGCAGAAGAGCCTGGGGAGCTTGAAAACTAAAACAGTCTAACAATGGGAGGGGAGTGGGAAGATCTCAAGTTTAGGGTTTTCTAGCTTTGTTTTTAGCTGTAGCAGTTACAAGATGTTTTGAATACCAGAAAGGTTGCAAGCTTCAGTAAAGAGGACTTCAAAATGAATTTGTCTAAAATCCCTCTGAATGTTGATCCCTCCTGCCTGTAAGAATCTGTGTTTAAAGTTACCTTTTTGCCAAGGAATGATGCTACATTGGAACAGCGAGTTAGTTAAGTGGCTGTATTAGGTCGGTTGAGTTTTCCAATACTTAAGTTGTTCTAAATTGCACTTTGTTTTGTTCGTGTTTCAAGTGTAGTGTTTAAATAAATTCTGTTTTGCCTAAAGCCGAGCGGTTTGATTAGTTGCATCACGCCCGGAACACCCGAAACGTTAACTCGTTTTTTTTTTCTTCATCAGATGTTGCCAGAGCTGCTGAGCTTTTCCAGCAAATCCTGTTTCTGTTCCCGATTTACAGCACCTGCAGTCCTTTCAGATTTTAGAAAATGGGAATCACTGGGAAGGGAGCAGCAGATAAAGAAACATCAGTGAGTCACAGAATTGGCACAGCACAGTGAGGGTCCGTGTGTACTGGCCTTGAACTGTTCAATTCCTGGGTAGGGCTGGTTTAAGGGTCAGGACGATACAAATTGTTAGGTTGTTCTGTGAACTGGGCGTGGCTGGATTAAAGGTGAGGAAACTCCAAATTAATTGGTTGCTCTATTGACTGAGCAAGATCTGGGTTAAGGGTCAGGAAGATGCAAGCTGATATGTTGTTCTGAAAACCGGACGGTGCTGGGGTTTTGAGTGACCAGGTCTGTGAGCCTATCAGAACAGGTGGAGCTTGTGCTCTGCCTTTCTTTTTATTTTAGAATTCCTACAGTGCAGAAACAGGCCCGTCGGCCCCTCAAGTCCACACCGACGCTCAGAGCATCCCACTCAGACCCATCTAATCTATACATCCCTGAACAATTTAGCATGGCACATCCACTTAACCTGCAAATCTTTGGACTGTGGGAGGAAACTCACGCAGACACGAGGACAGTGGGCAAATTCCACACAGAAAATCCACACAGAATCGAACTTGGATCCTTGGCGCTGTGAAGCAGCAGTGCTAACTATTGATCCAACGCGCCTCTTCATGAGCAAATCACTGGAGTCGCTTTGGTTAGTGTTTTTAAACGTTCCATCATCCCGTAATGTAAGTGGATTGCAAATGGCATTCCTTCTGTCTTTGCCTTTCATTCAATCCCAGTTACAGGCTGCACGTTCTGTGTTCTCTGGAGAATGTTGGACTCAATGTCGGTGCTGGTTGTGTGTGCAGTCAGTTTAGTATTGGGTGACAATAATATTGGTGATCATCCTGCACAGAACCTGATGTTTCTCCGTCAGGAGGGAACCACATCACCCTCATTAATTCGGTTTAGTGTCTGTGGAACAAAGGAAACTAAGAAGGCATAGATAGGATGTATAAAATTGTGAGAAACATAGACAGAGATGATTTATGATTGGCAGAGGGTTCAATGACTGGAGACATTGATTGATGTTAAGGGGCAGGAGGTTTAGATGGATATGTGGATTTTAGTTTTTTTAAATAGAAGGCAGGTATCTGGAAATTGTTGCCTGTAAGTGTGGTAGAAGCACAAATCCTCATAACAGGTAAACAAGTGATTAAATGTATACTCACGATGCCAAGGTGTACACGCTCTGGGCCAAGTGCTGGAAATGGGATTAGAGTAGTTAGACAGTTGTATTTTGTTTATAACCTCTCACATGCTTTCTCTTTCACTTCTTTATTCCATTTCTGTGTTTGTTCTTTGATCTGTTCCCAGGTGATATTTGCACGTCGGAAGTGAAACGTCAACTGTGACTGATTCTGGCCGTTCTATGTCTTAAATGAGTAAACTAAAAATAAAGTCACATTTCATGGTTACACAATCCCAGGAAATGGCCATTTCCTGAGCAGGGATATTGACGTAGGCTATGGGAGAAAACACTGGGAAGTGGGAAATGTGTCTGTTGTGCCAATGAACTGAAGTGAAATCCTGGGTAAGGTGATAATGGTAAGCTACTTTTGCAGAGTTTTGGCTCATGCGGAGCAAGGGACGTTGGGAGGGATGCCTTGCCAGTTGATGTACCATGAAACAGACTTCATGAGTTCTTGGTGAAATGAACACATAACTGTTTATCATTGTGTGGAAACTAGAGCAGGGTGTCCAATACTCAACTGGGAAGAGCAGCATTGACTGTTTTAATGTGGGGAATGTTAACGCTGATGTGTTGTATCGCAGGAAGTCTTTATTATGCAAAGGTGTTATATACATGCACGCTGTTGTTGTTAATGTTATTATTTATGGGCAGTGAACAGTCCCAGTCTGAACCAAAGCCCCAGAATTCCCCATAGTGAATGCCCCCGATTGACAAACAAGGGAGCCATGCACAGGCGCCGTCCCAGGCAGTGGACAGAGCATGTGTCGAGCAATTAATGGCTGTTGCTGGATATTTCTTATCTTTGGTCTGCAAAAAAATGAGAATTTAGGTGGAACGGAGGGAGTAATGATCCAGCGGGAACACTGTGAGGTTGTCTGAAACTGTTGTGTAAGCTCTGAACCCAAAAGTAAGTCATCGGTGCCCTGTCTACACAGAGTGAGAAAGAGTGTTAAACTGAAAGCTTTCGTTTAAAGGTAGGCCTTGGGATTACTTCCGCCATCTTTATTGGGGGCAAAAACAGAAGATGCTGGAAAAGCTCTGCAGGTCTGGCAGCATCTGTGAAGAAAAATATCAGAGTTAACACTTTCGGGTCCGGTGACCCTTCCTCAGAACTTGGGGCCACTGAGCAGCAGGACGGATGTGCATTGTTAATTTTTGATGGGGACAATATTTACTATCACTGGGAGGAATTTACTGCCCATTGTTCAGAATAGAGGCAACTTGTCCATCAAGCTCCAATAGCCTTTCACGCCCAAATATTATTGATAAGGCAAAGCGCCGGCAGAGAATGAAGTAAACCCCGATTGTTTTTTCCCACTAACTCCTGGAATGCCTTCGTTTATATGTCTAATGACCTGCGCCTCCATTCAGTCAAATGAAGATCTACGGTAGAAACTCAGGCCCACGAGTAGATTTTATTGTTAAAATAAGTGACTGCTGACTATGATGAGGTGCAATGTATAGCAGCAAACATGTATATCCTTTGCTTTGACAGGGAGATAGAAGAGGACGTTAATAACAGCAAATTGAAACCAATGGGTTTGTTTTTCTTCACTGAATTGCTATCGTGAACTGACAGTGATGGCTGTTACAGAATATGACATGGGGATTTGCTGACAAAAACTGAAACCAACTTTCACATGTCAATCTGACAGTATCACTTGCTTCATTGGCCTTTGTAAGTATGCACTTAAATCCAGAACTTTATCAAATGCTACATAAAATGTTTCATCCCTGTGGCTCTGAAACAAAATCTTCAATCAGTGTTCTATAATTTTGTTTTTCTTATGTCCAACTAACAAGAATAACTTTTCTTTTTCTAGCGTATTTTAATCTTTTACAAACATTTCTATCTCATCCCTGTTCATTCTGCTTCATTCCAAACAGAGAAATTCAGTTTTCTAACATAGCACTGCAACTTAAATTCCTCATCCCTCAAATTATTTTGGTAAATATCCTCTGGCTCCTCCCTTCCTTCACAATATGTGATGATGTCTGGTTTGCACTTACCCAGATGCTATGTGTTACTGCATGTGATGTCATCACACAGTAGCAACTGCACAATGACATCACCCACTCCCTTGATTTTTCCTCAAATGTGAGATTTTACTCTGACACCAGTGTTTCTGAATCTTTCCAACTGCAACTTACAACGGAAAATTTCAACATCTCGGGTTTTGGCAAAATGAGTGCTCACTGATCGGGTCTGCCTTTGTTTGCGGTGGCACAATGGATCAATGGTTAGCACTGCTGCCTCACAAGGCCAGGGACCCGGCTTCGATCCCATCCTCAGGGACTGTCTGTGTGAAGTTTACACATTCTCCGCGTGTCTGTGCGGGTTTCCTCCGGGTGGTCTGGTTTCCTCCTACAGTCCAAAGATGTGCAGTTTAGATGGATTGGCCATGCTAAATTGCCCATCGTGTTCAGGGATGTGTAGCTTAAGAAGGTTAAAGCGGGTGGGTCTGGGTGGGATGCTAAAAGGATCAGTGTGGGCTTTTTGGGCCGAAGAGTCTGTTTACACATTGTAAGGATTCTATGAATTGACACTGAGATTTGAAAATAGTGAGGTTGTTTCACTGAAGGGCGTTAATGAGAATTTGCCTCATGTCGATATTTCCCCTAGTTCCCTGTGGTCTGTTATCTGAGGGATTTTCCATGGCTCTGGGGCTGGAGTTGTTCATTCCACAGCTCTGTTTAATCTCTGCTGTCTCTGATGACTTCTCTGCTATTGACTAACTTCGTCTGTGTCTCATAATGGATGTATTTTATCTCTGTTTACTATTGCAATGTTCCCTCTGCCAACACTGTCTCAGTGTTTTCCACGACTGCCTATCCCCTGATAATGTGTCACTATCTTACAACTTACATCATTCCTCAGGATCTTTCACAAACAGGATTTTTTTTTCCTGCGCTATAGTTCATTTCTCCTCCACTTCTAAGCTTGCAATGATCATCAAGTTTACACCACATTTGTTCACCGTGATTCATTCTGTACACCCTGATCAATTAATTCTTTTTATCACTCCATGGATACTGCATTGTTTTTGATTAGTGTGGACTCGATGGGTGTGACGGCTGTTTTCTGTGCCAGAGACCTTTATGAATCTGTGACCATGCCTGTCCTGCAGACCAGCTGATGCATTTTCTCTCAAAATTTCAAATTTCCAGCAGCTGTAATATGTTGTGATTATTTAAAAGAGGCCTTATTCACAGATCAGAGTCTAGAAACACAGACGGACTGAGTAAGAAATGATTTGCATCAGTTTGGATGCGAGCTTTGTGTTTAGTCCATGGCCTCCATCTCCACTGAGATATTGAATTATGCAGTGGATACAATATATTGCAACTGGGCTATCTCCTTGCAAGAGAACATCACCTAACCCCATTCCCCTACCCTTTCATTAATGAGAACTCAAAGGGATTCGATAAAGTCATAAAGGAAAAAAAAAAGAAAAGTAACTGGGGAGAGAATAGGGCACCTTAAAGCTCACCAAGGCTGCCGTTGCATGGAACCACAGGAGATGGGGGAGATACTAAACAAACATTTTGCATCAGTGTTTAATGTGGAAAAGAAAACTTGGGGAAATAAACAGCAACATCTTGAAAAATGTCCATATTACCGAGGAGGAGTTGCTGGACTATTTAAAAATACATAACGGTGCATAAATCCCCAGGAACAGATCAGATCTAACCTTGAACTTGGTGGGAAGCTAGGGAAGTGTTTGCTGGAGTCCTTGCTGAGATTTTTGTGTCATTGATCGCAACAGATGAGGTGCTGGAAGACTGGAGGTTGGCTAACGTGGTGACAACATTTAAAAAAAGGTAGTAAGGAAAAGCAAAGGCACGATAGTGAGCCTGATAAGTTGTTCGAGGGAATCCTAAGGGACAGGATTTAAACGTATTTGGAAAAGCAACGAAAGATTAGGGATAGTCAAAATGGCTTTGTGTGTGGAAAATCTTGTCTCACAAACTTGATTAAGTTTTTCAAAGTAGTAATGAAGAGGATTGATGAAGGCAGAGTGGTGGACATGATCTATATGGACTTCAGTACTGTGTTTGACAAGGTTCTGCATGGTAAACTGGTTAGTAAAGTTAGATCACACGGAATACAACAGAAATTGCCATTTGGATACCGAAGTGACTTGGAGGTAGGAGACAGAAGTAGTGGGGGAGGGATGTTTTTCAGACTGGAATCTTGTGACCAATGGTGTACCATAAGGATTGATGCTGATCCACTGCTTTTCATCACTAATATAAAAGATTTGCACGTGGAGGTATGGCTTGTAAGTTTGCAAACGACACGAAAATTGGTGGTGCAGTGGACAGCGAAGAAGGTTATCTCAGAGTACATAGGTTCTTGATCAGATATGCAAATGCTTGGCAGATAACGTTTAATCTAAATAAATGTGAGGGTTATAAAACTATGAGGGGCATGGATAGGATGAACAGCTGAGATATTTTCCAAAGGGTACTGGAGTCAAAAATTAAGGGGCATAGGTTTAAGGTGAGAGAGGAAAGATATGAAAGGGACTTAAGGGTCAATGAATTCACACAGATGGTGGTGCATGCATGAAACGAGATGGCAGTTGAGATGGTGCGTGCTGGTAAAATTACATGGATACATAAACAGGAAGGGTTTAGAGGGATATGGGCCAAACCATGGCAAACGGGACTAGATTAATTTAGGATATGTGATCGGTATGGACAGTTTGAATCAAAGGGTCTGTCTTTGTCCTGTAGAGCTCGATGACTCAAAGATTGCTGTACTTTTCCCAATACTAAATTACAAGTGGAGAAGTGGGTGTGAGAGTTTTCTTGAACTGGTGCATTTCATGTGGTGTCGATACAGAATGGAAGAAGTCCTCAGGTGCCCGTTCAGTCCATGCTGCCTGCACCACTGTCTAATGAACATTATTTTAGTTTAAAGGAGGAAAATGAGATAGAGAGGCAGGGAAGTTTCAAGAGGAGAAGCCAAGCTTCGTGGTTTTGCAACACGGGGAACAGCCAACTATTTCATCTTGCGGTGAAATATTACATCATGGTTGTGAACCGTCCATTTCAGCCTCAGACATTTGCCAGAGAGAGGGATGGAGTCAGTGGTGAGGGACTGCATTTTGAAAAAGGAAATAAAAAGAGTGGCTTCAGTCTTCACAAAGCTTCTGCCCATCCAGTACTGGATGTCACGTAAGACTGGATGGTGTGTGACTGGAAGGTGAAGGCGTTCACATAGAGTACATCTGCTGCCCTGAGCCTTCTGGGTGGTAGAAATTGAGGGATTGGGAGTTTCTGTTGAAATTCTGAACACATAAAAGTTATATCATGTCTTTCTCCTTCACCACTTACCTGCTCATTTCTCTTATTCTCCCATTGAGGCCAGATCCTTGTATTAGCCTGGACTGGGTGTGAATATTCTTCTCAAGTCATAGACCATGTGAAATCTTTCATTCTCTGTCTCTTCCAAATCATTTTCCCTGTCTTCTTCTCCCCTACGCAGCCACCCTATTAGAAATCTGTGTTTGTGACAGACAAAAGTAAGTGGCATACTCCCTTCCTTGAAGAATGATTGTGAACCAGTTGGATTTTTGTTACAATCCAGCCACTTTCATGATAACTATCTCCTATTGAGGGTCAAAAACATTCCCAGGTTCGATTAGGTCCGTTCACTAACTTGCTATTTCGTTTTTGTGCCTTCTCTCACGTTCTGTTTTCCTGTTTTAAACAAATTCCACGGGATATTGGAAGAACAGGATTTGCATTCGGGCAATTCAAACCAGATATCCCATCAGGATGTAACAGAGTCACCCAATTTGTGTTAACCTGAATATCCTTGGATTATGAACATGAAAGGAAACAGCGTCATTCTCATTTGGGACAAATTGTTCACGTGTTCTCTGTGTGGAAAAGGCTTTACTGATTCATTCTACTTGCTGGCACACGATCTAGTTCACGCTGGGGAGTAACCGTTCAACTGCTCCCAGTGTGGGAAGGGATTCAATCAGTCATCCGACCTCCTGAAACACCAGCAAGTTCAGCTCCGTGTGTGGGAAAGGTTTTGCTTGGTCATCCAGCCCGCTGAGACATCAACACAGTCACACTCGAGAGAAACTATTTATCTGCTCTGAGCATGGAAAAGCATTCAATCACACATCTAAACTTCTGAAACACCAGCACATTCATTCTGGGGAGAAACCATTCAACTGCTCAGACTGTGGGAAATGATTCACTAAGTCATCCAACCTGCTGAGACACCAGCGAGTTCACACTGGGGAGAGTCCGTTCACCTGCTCTATGTGTGGGAAGAGATTCACGCAGTCAACACATCTGCTACAACACCAGCGAGTTCACACTGGGGAGAAACTGTTCACTTGCTGCGTGTGTGGGAAGGGATTCACTCAGACATCCATCCTGTTAACACACCAACAAATTCACAAAGAACCATAGTTTGGAAAAAAAAAGTAGTTCTTACTTACACTGAGGAATGAAACAAGGTAATTGGACTGTTTGTAAACCCACTCTATTAAAGGTGCTGATATTGTGGATAAAATGTCAGTACATTTTTTTTTTCTGTTGGTACATTTTGTAAATCATCCTAACTTGCTGTACATCATCATTTTCACGCTGGGTAGCGTCTGTCTATCTGCCCAATGTGTGGGTGGGCTTTACTGTTTCATCAAGACTGGATAAACACCAATGAGATCCCAATTCACTGTACAGGTTGGATTTTGATGTTATTGAATCCCACCTCTGTGCAGAAAAGGCTTTACTAATTCATTCTACTTGCTGGCACACGTGTCATTGAAACCCACCCTTCGTCTGCTTCTGATGATGTTTGTAAACTCCACAAGTCCAATTGATTATTTGCGATGAAAACAATATGATTTGGCTTTCTATTGTTAAGATCGTGCATCATGTCTTTAACATATCTCTGAGGCAGATGAGTTGAAGGGAGGCCACATCGGAACAACTTGATTCAATTTTTAAAATTAGGTTTCCAGGTGTATAGATGAGTGTAATGCTTTTAATGCTGTCCACCTAGATTTAAGTAAGGCTTTTGATAAGTTTCCATGTGAGAGACTGATAGCAAAGGTAAGAGCCCATGGGATCAATTGAAATTTGGCAAATTGGATCCACAATTGGCTGAATGGCAGGAATATGGTTGAGGCGTGATTCTCTCAGTGGAAATCTGTGTCCAGTGGAGTGCCAAAGTAGTTACTGTTGGAGCCCTTGCTGTTTATAGTTTATATAAATAATTTAGCCATGTAAGAGCATTGATTAGATAACTTGCAGATAAAACAAAAGGCTCCATGATAAATATTGAGGATGAAAGCTCTCGATGACGGGACGATGTAGGCGATCAGTAGCAAATGGAATTCCATCTGAATAAATGTGAGCTTGGAAAGGACAATTAGTCAGCATGATCAGCTGTTAACTGCAAGATTAACGGTTTATAGACCAGACAACAATGGAAGTCTTGTTGGTTTTCTCATGCATCAGCATACTCCATGATCCAGTACTGGAATATCAATGGGGACATTGACTGCAAGATAATTTCCCCAAATCATGCCTGCATTGTAATCCCGTGAATTGCCAAACGAGCAGATTTTTAATGCATAGTGCTGCAAATTAGGAAGAAACGAATTGGAATTTTGGGCTTAATTTCTAAGTGATAGGGTTCAAAGTTAGGGAGATTTTGACATAACTGTACAAGGTGTTTATGAAGCTTCTCCTTGTGGACTAATGATCGTTCTGGTCCGATTATTCAAGAATTTTAACATTGAATGCATTTCTAAAACAGCTTCACTCGGCTGGTTCGTGGGATAAAGGATTTGACCGGTCAAGGATGAACAAACAGGTTAGGCCTTCATTCATTAGAGTTTGGAAGAACGTGGGGAACCTTTATTGAAACGTAAAAGATTCTGAGGGGCCTTTGCAGGGTAGATGATGACAGGAAGTTTCCACCAGTAAGCAAACCTTGGACTCGGGCATATAGTTACAGAATAATGGACAGTAAATTGTTACTGAGATGCAAAGGAATTCCTCTTCTTTCAATGGAAATTAATTTCTGGACTTGTCTACCTCAGAGAGTCGTGAAAGTTAGATCACTGAAACCATTTAGCTGGGCAGCAAATACATTTTAGAAATGGCAAGGAGTTGTCAGCTTTGGGGGTGCGGCATGAAAGAGAGGCTGAAACATCGGCACAAAAGTCCTGATCTTCAAGAATGGCAGGCTAGACCTGAAGGAGAAATAATCTATTTGAACCCAATTGTGCTGCTCGATGAATCGGGCTTAATGGGGGAAATTGCAAATCATTGTTCAGACGCCAGCCATGGTAGGGCTTGAACACACAACTGTGAGATTTTCAGGCCTCCTAAAACAATCATTCAAATCCTATTTTATAAGGAGACAAATGTGGTATCCACCTGGACCTTCTGTGGGTTCTGAATTCCCAGGATTATGAAGGTAATTGCTTTACAAAATCCCAACGTTTCAGTTCATTCCTTGCAATATCCAGTAATGTTACTGGCATCTTCCACTTCTCAGATTTAACTCCTTCAGAATATGGTAATCCAATTTCAGTAATTGTTCAAGGATTTAATATTTAATATTCATATTTTAATGTTGGCATCCTCATCTTTAAGGATCCCGTATCACTCCCAGCCACTCTTCAAGACGGTGGATTAATGTGAGCATCTGCCCGAAAAATCCATTCATCTCTGTTACAGAAAGAACTGTTCATTTGTCTGCTGAGTCACATTGAATACTTTCATCAATTTCTTTGTTCTGTGCATCAACAACTTATGCCACTTCTCATTTTGTGGACTGGATTTTGAGATTTTGGTTACAAAGAACCTTAGGGCAGGAAGAATCCGCTGCAGCCATTGCCATGTTTGAAATGTACCTTTCATATGAAAAGAAACTTTCATGAGGAAAAAATTTCCACAACTGTCAGCTGAGGTTTCCAGATGGAATCTCGGAAAAAATCTCACTCCCTCTGCCTTTTTTAACTTCTGCTCGGATGTTTAGTGGGTGCTTTCATTCACCAATTTTATTGTTGCATTGGTCTCCCTTTTGTCTGGCGTTTTTTGGCCATGGCTGAACTGATGTCTCTGTCAGTTTGATCCCTCATATTTGTTTGGTGCTCTTCTACTGTTTACCCCACCCCCACATTACACTCAAACATGATGGGTGAATGGACCTCTGTTTGGTAACAAGCAAATCGAAAACAGGAGGTTAAGTGTCATATCATAGCATCAGTCTGTGGCTTTAATGCATGTTAGTATAACCTATTTCATACTAGTATTATTCGGCTATCCCATTCCATTTTGCATTCCATATTAGAAAAGTTTCGAAAGGCACATTTTTGCTTCTGATGGCAGCTCCATTACCCAGCATTCCGGTCGCGACTGAAAGTCTTCTCTTCACGATGCCTGTGATCAGTGCTCAGGCATAGAGTCGATGTACAATAGAGCATGCAACGAACGAGCGACGCTGATGACTGTGGAGTTTTTCTACTCGGCTCCGGAAAAGTCACTGGGAAGCAGAGGGATGATGCATCGGACGAGAAGTTTGAAAGATTTCGTAATTATCTTAACAAAGACACAAAACCCAGAAAACGACATTGGATGGACCGTCTGCGCGGAGCGAAGGTGAATTGGAGACTGGAGGTTTTCACGCAAAGACAAGACCCATCATTGAGGGATGCCATCTTTATAGTGGGCACTGGGCAGCAGGGGCTGCTACCATCTTTGTAGGGGTCAATGTTTTTAGGAACTGGGAGTAGCTTGCTGCCCATTGTTCAGAATGAAGACAACTTGTCCGACGAGCTGGACAAACGTCAACTTACCTGCTCCTCTGATGCTGCCTGGCCTGCTGTGTTCCTCCCGCTCCACGCTGTGTTGCCTCTGACTCCAGCATCTGCAGTTCTTGCTATCTCTGAACTCATCCGTCGAGCTGTATTAACCTTTCACACCCAATGTCTTATTGATGAGGCAGAGCGGTGACACAGAGGGAAAGAAAAGTTAGCAAATCCTGTCTGGATCCCGTGACTTCATGGAACATCCTGCCCCATTGATCAAAGATCTGTGGCTCTGTTCCGTCCCATGAAGACACAGAACAGAAACTCTTGAATCTGAGTATACTTCATCCTCAAATCAACGTACTGTAGGCCACAAGGAGAGGCAATGAGCAGCAGGGAACATGCGAGGTCGTCCTGGGGAAAAAAAGGATGAATGTTGTGATCTCTATTCTGAACTGACAAAGATGATGTTTTGGCGTTAGGAAGAGAGGGTCTATACAGAGTAAACTCAAATCAAGAGACTTGTTTGTCTCTTTTAAATATTTATCCCCGACTGATTTTGATGGATTTTGTAAATGTCCTCTCTTGGATTTTCAATGAGGATGCTGTGACATCACCCACAGCCGAAGTATTTTCTCAACTGTGAAACTTTTCTGTGTCTCCATCTAGTTTATTCTGATATAGTTCCAGCTGAACGCTCCAGCATGAGATTTCAAACTTGGAAACGGATGTTGTTCCAGAGGTGAATGTTTTTGATCATTCATCTGCAGTTTTGAGTTGTCCCTGCTGTCCTGTGTTATCTTTGAGATGTTTGATGTATCTGGTTCAGGTGTGGTTCCTTTAGAATTTTTTTTTTTTCAGAGCATTTTGGGTGTAAGTAACACCGGCAGATATTTAGTTTGTTCCAATTCCAATACAGACAAGTTTCGCACTTGTTCTTGACGCATAGACAGCTTGTTTAGTTCCAACTTTAATGTGATTAATTCTGTTCTCTTCCGGGGGAAAGGAACTGCTGCCTCCTGTGAATATGTCTCAAGTATAGTCCAGTATGTTCCCCAATTAACGAAGACAATAAACCTCTCTTGAGCCAAGTTTCATTCTTGAATCTGAATTATCCAATTACCCTAACAAATGCAGTCATAGCAGTTAGGAGAATTAATTCTAGAGGTAAGAAAAGAATGGATGAGAATGTCAGCAACCAGTGAGCTCGGACTGAATTCAGGTGATGTTGCTAAGGTGTAAACAGACGGTCTTAGTGATGATGAGGATATGTGGTCAGAAAGTAGTCTCGGCGTAAAATACTTTCTGAACAGTCTGGTTCAACCTTAGACACTTACCAATTGTGGGGTGGAAATGGTGAGAAAAATTGATAGTTGTCATTGGGCTATGAAGAAAATGGGTTTAGACTTCCCAATATTTCAATTTCAGCTCATTCAGCACTGGATTTTGTGTGATTTGTAGGTTATTGTGCTCATGGAGCTCTGCTATCCTTGCCCTTGCTCAGAAGTGGGGAGTGAAGGCTGTGGAGTTTCTGTCAAAGTTCTGATCAAGTTCTAGAGAAATGAATGATGTGAAGTCTCTCTCTTCTTTGCCCCCTGCACTTCTCTCCATTCCAGTCTCTCCCTTCTTCTCTCTGCCTCCTTCAACCTTTCCTTCCTCCCATAGAGGGCAGAGTCTAATGTGGGTCCAGCCTGGCTGATGTGTTGCCTTCCATAGGGGTGTTAATGAACCAGTTGGATTTTTACCACAATCCAACAGTTTTGATG